ATTTACAGCTGTCACACCTATGTTTTGCTTTTATTCCGCTTTAATCATGGGAGATGTATAATTTATTAATTTCACATTGCACATGTAAGTACATTATGTATTAGCTATGATAACAGAGTTTTCAAATAGGCTCATTAGAAAAGCAACATGAACTTTTTTGAACTTTTGGTCATCTTTTAATATTTGCCAAAACATGTACTAACTAATCCTATCTTATTGTTCGTTTAATAAGGGGTTGAGAGTATCAAAAATGTTTAAAATAAGTGTGAAACAATTCTTTTGTTACAAATAACCAATTTGATTACAGTTACTAAAGCACGTTCGCTTAAGTCGAATAAGAATATATTTTATTATGAGAATGGTATAAAATACCAACTGATAAAACTTGCAGTTTGCGTTAATAATGCATGTTGCTTACACTTCTTTGATGAGTTTAACATTAATTTGCGAAATAATATGGATAACTATAGCAATTGATATATTTTTATAGTTATCTGTCTATTAACATAATACTTAAGCGAATGTTAGCTTTTCGTTCTAGTTGTAAATGTCACCCAATCGACTCCAATACAACATTATTATACTTCAGTTACAATGTAAGAAAGTATTGCACATGTTGAAATCCACTAGAGTATTTTAGTTTAACTATTAACATTTGCAATAAAAATTTATCACCGTGCTAAGCTGAAATACCTCCGCTAACAGTAACACTTTCTTTTTAATGCTTAAAGATATTTATATTAATATATTTTTTGAGATTTATCTATACCTACTCAAAGTCTACAGTATTTTATAAATATTTCTATACCTGGATTTGCTCAACATTTTATAATGTCTCTGCCTTGAATAATGTCAAATTCGTAATTATCAGTATTATTAAGTAGGTAAACTCAGAACACATCAGTTTTAAGGTAAATGCCTACCTATTTTAAGAATCTAAAAAAAAGGTCCACCAGAAGCGGACAACCGAATTCTTCGGTTTTTTCATTTCATTTCATCATCATCATCAGCCTATTAATGTCCCCACTGCTGGGGCACAGGCCTTCACTATGGATGGAATAGGGAGATTGGGCCATGACCCACCACGCGGGCCCAGTGCGGATTGGCGGGTGCTAACGACTGCAGATGCAGCCGGGACCAACGGCTTAACGTGCCTTCCGAAGCACGGAGGAGATCGAGATAGTAAATTTTTGGTCACCCATCATGGATTTCAATGACCGACCACTGCGAAAGATACTTAACTTCAACGATCGCAGCCGAACGCGCTAACCACTTGCGCCATCGAGCTCCTCATTCATTTCATTTAGTCATTAAGATCTGTAATAGCTTTATGAGTGACGAATATTAATAATTCTGCACTGAATTAAAAAACATTCATTTCATAAACCTTAACTAACACTTGGGCGCATGAATCACTGTGAAAGTCACTTAATTACGGTCAAGAAAAACCCAAAAAGTTTTCTCAAAAGAGATATAAAGGGTAAATCCTGAAGGATGCTTATCCCAAAAGAAGTAAAATACTGATTAGCATATGGGTACCTACTCGGTAGGTATACATTCACCAAATTTCTTAACTCAAATTAAAGACCTAATCACGTTTTAGACTCATGCCATTGCCATTTGCCTTAAAACAATTGGCAAGATAGAATGATGTACGACACGACTAAGTCTTAATTTAAATGAAGAACTTCAATACAAGTGGGCCAGTAATTGCAAAAGTTCTTGTTATTAGGTCGGATATGCGACAACGTAAATTCACGGTAATAAATAAATGCAATAACATTCAGCTATCAACTGTCTCAAGGAAACCTCAATACTAATAATATGAAAACTGCACTAACCGTCAATGAATCACAGAGTTGGGTTCTTGCTGTATACCAAAACAATGTTTCATAATATAGCGCAACAACCGATTTAGATTTGTTGTAGGAGGGTTTCCTTTTAATGTTGTTGTATATTGAGGCTGGGGATAGCAACTCCCCTCCTAACGTTACAATATTACGTCATAGTCACAGAACTTTTTATTGTTATAATTCGGTTAAAAATTAACTCCTATTTAATGTATATCACATTTACAAATAATTACAATTCAACAAATGGTTTAAACTTAAGCAATATAGGAAATTTTATGCAAACAAAAACAATATATGGTGGTCAAAAATTGCATTGTCGCAGCAGTGCAAAAACTTCGATCGCCACTACAACATGCATCTCATTTCGCAAACATGCCAATTGACAGCTAAATACACTTACGAGTTACCGTCCGAGAGGATAATATGCATTTCATGAGTTAAAAAAACCTTGTGTGTGTGATAATGATAAGTTTTACATTTTGAAAGAAAATAAATAAATGATAACAAAAACACCTACTTTATAAAATCATCAACGTAAATAACATCAATTAAAACTATTAAGTGACAATGTAAGAACACTGTTACTTGTGACGATAAATTGCTAATGTAATGAACCTAAATTGGTATGACAATAAAAACTACGTCAGTTATTGTGGTTGAATATCACATTAATTAAAATCAATTCGATTATTATTTTAGTTAAGGTTTATGCTAGACTGTGAATATAATCTATTTTATATTAACCTTCCTTAATGTAATCCATTAAGCTTACTACTTGATTTGGTGTTTTTAACTTTAAAAATGAGAAGAGAAACACTGCCTGCATTTTGCGGAAACAAAGTGTGGTCCTTAAATGCATCCTTGGGGAAAGCCGTTCAACCTACACAATTTTAAAATCTTTAGATAATTTGAAAATACATTTAATAGAAACAATATCAATTCATTATTAACCACTGTATTTATCATTAACAGATTAGGTATCTATACATATCAATTGACATATTTATTTACACAATTTAAACGTTCACAAAGAATTAGAAACACGAACCACGAAATCAATTCGTCAAAGTTTGTAGACGAGATGCTAACAGATAACCAAAATTTCCCACAGTTAAATGGCGTATATGAGCAGTTCTTTTTACAGATTTTACTAATGAACAAAGAGGTGAAACTAAAGCAGTTTGTTCACGGTGATTATGTGTGTGTTCCACCGATTTCATGAAGATGGGTGTTTCAAACGATACGCGACGCTATTGTGTGTCAGACAAAGGGCCATTCACTCCCGACATCTTTATATTTATGGTGTTTTTAATGTTATCATTGCACAATAAGAGCTTTGCTACAGCGCATTGTTAACTGGTTTCGCCGTAAGCTGCATTTTAAGCACAACATGAACACACGAGATCGTGTCACGCCTTTCCGTCACGATTGTTTAGTAGTGTTGTTTTGATTGCGAAATTGAATTGAATTATAATACGTACTTACTTGGATTGCAATAGGAATACTGTGTAACAAAGGCATATATTATGACAAAGATATGGTCAGCATTAAAGCCTGCATGTACTAGATTGGTCTAGCTAATCCTGGGCCCGCGTGGTGGGTCATGGCCCAATCTCCATATTCCATCCATAGGGAAGGCCTGTGTCCCAGCAGTGGGGACATTAATAGGCTAATGATGAATCCTTACGTAGTTTCTGGTCGAAAGACCCTTCTGATCATTGTATCATTGTGTAAGTTTTGATAGGTAAGGCGAAATTTCTTCAATTCAGAAAGCGATGCATTTATATTTTGTTCGGAATGACCATTCTTGAGATCAGCATGAGAGTACCAGAAAATGTTACTCTAATGCTGACCACAAATTTACATGAAAGCTTTCACTTTTTAATGGGTAAGGCAAACATAGATTTTTATGTGTGTTGTGTGAGTTGTGGCACACTTATACAATGGAATCTTATGCAAAGTGTATCAGATTAAAACAGTAAAGATTTTCATTCATAAGCTTGATAACTGGTATATTTATGACTATTTTATAGATAGCGTTATTATACTCACACAAAGTTGCTATAACAAACAAGAATAAACCTATACTCAATGTTTTAGGAAGAAAATATATTAAAAGTCAGTTGGAATTACTTATTAAGACTCATGCCTGACAGATGAACACAGCGTTTTCATTCATTTTAATGAGCTTTTATACGAAACACTTAAAGTATATGGTGCGGAAAGTTAGCTAGTTTCAACACACGAATTTCATATTTTTTACAACGCTTTAAGAAACCCCAACAAACGACATCTTGCTCGCAATTAAAATTTTAAAATTAGCCAACAAAATTATTTACAAGGCGTCTGAGCCGTTAAAACATTACTAGAATTTATTACGTGGTCACCAAAATAACATTTTCTTCAGTGAAGCTGTATTGGAATGACAGCCAGATGAAGATAGGTATTTGGCTGATGATATATCCGGAGTAACAGCAGTTGAAACGCGTACATTACTTTATTATATTGTTATTCAAGAGAATAAATCTATAAAATGAATTGAAATAACTAGCTTTAATTATCAATACAACACTAAAATAATGAAGGAATACATTTTGTTTGTTGATTGAGTGTGTAACAAACGTGAATTTCCTGGTAGCAGATATTTTTGGACATTAAAAGGTGTTTGCATCAATTGGTGTCTTTAATAAAGTGGCCGGTTGACGTCTGCGACTCCGGACGGCAAGGTTCGCCTTCACCTTGGTCAGAATGCTGTTTCATGTCACCGAGTGAGCATTGACAACGTCCGTGACACTCGGTGTGCTCTGGCCAAAATAAACACCTCTGACGATGATACAAGACCAATAAAAAGATTCTCAGACGAAAGGCGACTTTTATCATTTCTAGAGAAATCTTCTAAAATTAGCGTTTATCCCCTATAGGAATAATGAGTTGAGCTACGTCAATATAGGCATTAATCTGCTGTGTCAATATGAACACATAGTACGGTCAAGGGGCTCTGGTTTTTGGTAAATTTCTTAGGCAAATTTCTTTAGACAGGAGTAAATAGAGAATTTTTATTACTTAAGAATATCACTTAAAATCATTCGTCATACTTTTATCAAGAGTACCCAAATTTCAAGAACATATGATCACAGGGGCTCTTACCACGAAAGGCCGAGTCTTCTTCGTTGTGGTGATAGTCTCCACGGTTTCCTCCACCGTCTCCACTTCTTCCCCACCCCCATCCCCGTCCTCTCCATTCCATGATCCAAAAAACTCCGTCATTGTTAACTTATTCAACAAACACTACACTGTAAATATCACTCACTCACTAACACTAAGAGCCCCCAACACTTATCAGTATCACATCCGTAAATTTTTCAAAATAGCTCATCCAGACGTTCTTCAATCCCCCTGGGTGCATCCATCGCAGCGAGAAGCACAGCTCGAGATTTACACCGGTGTTTCAGAGCAGAGACCGCTGCGCCGTACAAGCGGGCAGAGCAGGTCTTGTATAAAATCCTACTGGAAAACTGAAATAACTGCGGCGAACAAAAAGCACCAGCCAAAACATTTCACGTGCGGGCGTATTATTAGTTGGACGATCTAGCCGAAAGAGCTAAGTGTCGCTGCGGCCTTTTACACGAATAAACCGGGTAGATATTGTCATTTTCCGCGTTCGTTATTCGCTTCGTGGATTTCTCTCCGGTATTTCATCTGACGTGCGACTTAAAAATTTATTGAGATGTAAATGCCACTTTGCTGTCACCTCCGAATGCTTTGTTTAAGATGCACATAACTGTTAATTTTCTCCACAAACAAGGGATTTGCTGGTTGCATTGCGAACTTATTGATATTGCTTTTGTCGCTTTTGTTAAAACTCAGAACGTGATACGTACTCACATAATAATGAGAATTGGCTCAATTTCAGCGTTTTTATTATATCTAAATCAACGGCGGGTATTTTCGTACTAGGGGACAGAGTCACGATTCTTTAAAATTAGTTTATAAATCAGATAAATTGCTGCAACCAAATATTCATCAATCATTTCTCTATTAGTCTGTTATGTCATGTGTTTAATAGTTTTTTTAAGTTTTTTCTTTATATCCTCATGAATGATATTTTTTACTCAAGCTATTGAAGATAACGTCGTAGGGTATTTTATTACCACAAAAATTAAATATTTGTGATGTTCCAGATATATTAGCATTACATGTTTGCTAAGTCAATGTCTTACTTTTTACAAAATTTTAATATAAAAGTTTTGTTTCAATATTTATAGCTGTTTTGCAAAACATTGAGATTATTAGCTTTTACAGATTGGGTACCACATTTTGGTAATTAATTGTCTTATTTCTTGTTAAATAGCGAATTTCACATGCGCTCAACGCAAATACATCATGGGCTATCTCTCTGATAAAATCAGTGCCAGCAACAAAATTTTCTAGAAGCTTGAAAACAGTGTTGTATTGTATGCAGCCATCCAGAACCAGCGTCGGCGTAGGCGCTGACAGCTCCTCCACTTAATATAAATACGCGGCTTTACTAACAGCCCGCGATAAATCCGGGCCACGCCTCGAGGGATCACCGAGCGACTAGCTATTTTAACGACATATCGATAAAGTCCCTTATCGCATGCATCAACATCACTAATTTCAACGATCTTTCCGATTTTCTCTATGAAATTTTTGAAATGTGCACCATGCTTAAGTGCGTTACGGCAACTTTTCGCGTGTAGGCAAAATCTCGTGGTGATCTGATTGGCGAATCGATCGGAAATCTTTCATGTCTCAAGTAATATGGTAACGAATAACAGATGGGGTCATCCGGACATTAAGAATCGGGGAAAAAGGCTTAAAAAGATTAGCAGAAAACCGTCAAACGGTCTGAAATTTTAATAATAACTTCATAGATTCAAATGCAATATGAGTAAATATTTAAATACCGACTTCTGTTGGTTTTACGTATCTACCTAGTCAGGTCAAAAATTCTGTCACATGTTTAATATAAAATAATTGAAACAAGTTAATTCATTATGTAACCATTTATATACCGAAATCAACTTAACAAAATATAGATTCTTATGACAATAAAGTTTATTCAAAATGACCTCCGTGATTCTGAATACAGGCCTTGAATCTGCGCGACCAGTCGTCTATCGCAGCACGAACGAGGTCCACGTCAATATCGGCGGCTGCCTTAACGAAGGATGTCTTGAGTGACTCCAAATTGGGATGAGGCTTTGAGCACGCCTTTTCCTCCAAGTGTTGCCATATCTTGTACTGTATCAGACTCAAATCTGGACTGGAGGAGGGCCAGTCTTCGTACCGGATGAAGTCCATTACACGCGCCGAAAGTCAGTCTTGTGTGCTCTTCGCTCTATGAGCTGGCGCCGAATCTTGCTGGAATACCCAGTGCCTGTTATTGAACATGGTATGAGAAACAGGTTCCACAAGGTTCGTCAGGATTGTATTTTGATACACAACTGCATTCGTTTTTACACCTTTCTCACAAAAATGTACCTCTGTTAAGCCCCAATAAGAAACTCCCAACCATACCATGAGCGAGGATGGAAAATGACCTCGTTGGACACGCGGAATACGGTTGCTCGCTTCTTCACTTCTGTGTGCGTACACCTTATCATTTCGTTTGTCGTAGCTCTCTTCTACAGTAAAAATTTTTTCATCCGAAAAAAGAATTTCCCGATATTTTTTCCCGCGTGCCGCTTCAACAAAGCGCGGCATCTCTTCAGTCTCAAGTCCATTAGACGAGCATTCAAACGATGTCCTGTTTTTCTTCAATATGCCCGAAGCCCTAAGTCTTCATTTAACACCCTTTTCACCGTGGTTCTGCTTAACCCCATCTGAAGGGCCAACAGTTTCTGCTTACGTTTGGGATTTCTTTGAATTCGCGCCTTCACAGCTTTTAGCACTGCTGGAGTCCTAACAGACCGAGGGCGAACACTTCTTGACCTGTCATCTACACTAGAGTCTTCATTGTTTCGTTTGATGGTACGATAAACGAATCTTTTGGTTATATTCAAATTTTTCAGTATGTCAAAAATTTGAATTGGCGCGTAACCGCAACGATGCAACGCAATAACTGCAACACGGTCTTTAAGCGTCCACTCCATATTTAAAAATGAGTAAAATTCTAAAAAGTATACATTTTTATTTTCATGAACAATTCGAAATTCGAATTCAATAAACTTTTTTGTGGCCAGCATTCTAAAAGAAAAGTTTTTACTGTGCGACAATACTTATGACCTGACTGTGTATATGTCATAATAAGTTTAAATTTCGTCGCGTTATTAATTTTTAAAAACACTATAATTGCTTTACATTGCTTTTTTAACATGAATAAAAACAGCTCTCAATGTATGGGGCGTTTGTTACTTTCATCATCATCAGCCTATTAATGTCCCCACTGCTGGGGCACAGGCCTTCCCTATGAATGGAATAGGGAGATTGGGCCATGACCCACCACGCGGGCCCAGTGCGGATTGGTGGGTGCTAACGACTGCAGATGCAGCCGGGACCAACGGCTTAACGTGCCTTCCGAAGCACGGAGGAGCTCGAGTTAGTAATTTTTGGTCACCCATCCAATGACCGACCATTGCGAAAGTTGCTTAAGTTCAACGATCGCAGCCGAACGCGCTAATCACTTGCCCCGTCGAGCTCCTCATTTATTTGATTTAGTCAATAAGAATCTGTAATAGCTTTATGAGTGACGCATATTAATAATTCTGCACTGAACTGAAAAACCCTTAATTAAATAAACCTTAACTAACACTTGGGCGCATGAATCACTGTGAAAGTCACTTAATTACGGTCAAGAAAAACCTTTTGTTACTTTAGTTAATATTAATTATTGCCATTTTTGTTGGAATTAGTTTCCCATAGGTACAGGCGTATGCATTTATTTATATATATTTAATTATTTAAATCTTTCACGGCTAAAATTTTATTATTCATGACTCTACTCATGACACGACAGTTTTTCTCACACTCAGCACAGCTTTCGACTAAGAAATTCATTATGTTTACAAGTGGATAAATTATTGAATGATTAAGTAATATACTGTGACAATATTTTAAAAAAATGCAAGCCTTTTTCTTTTTTCAGAGGGTTAAAATAGTTTATCTAGGTGATGATAACAATAAAAAACTAAAGGCACTTATTATAAACCTTAAACCACAAAATATAAAAATTATCAATTATACTTAACGAACTCATAATTTAAAAGAAAGATAGAAAATACTCAAAATTTAATAGTCGTTACTGAATAATTTCTCGTCGGAGCTGTGTGCCAAGATGTAGGAATTTGTTGCCGCAAACTACACACTCGCAATGTAAAACAATGTTTATTACTTACGTAGCAAGGCTCAGTGTTGTACAAAATTGAGTTTTGATTGTATTAAGCTTTTAACATTTGATTAGCTTACTTTGTTTTTGTTCCACGCTCGGTTTCATCGTGGATGTTCCTTCCCCAAGGTGACTTACCTGCAATGAAAATGATAATGAAACAAGTGATAACATTAATTTTATCAACATATCTGTGGTTAGAGCATTTGAGTGTAATTTGTTAAATTCTTCAATGGATGTGCCATTTATTACCTCGGGCTCCTTTGAGGGGAAATACAGTACAATTTATGCAACCAACGCTTTGTAATTGTAAGGATTATCACCTATGCGGCTATAACCCGTTTTACATGTGTTTGTGGTACTTGAGCTTTTTGAAGTCGTGTACCAACATTTCCAGAATTCATTCAAATTCATGAACCCCACCCATATTTTTATTGATACCTATTTTATTAACACTTACTAACACCTAGGTACCTAATTAAATATTAAGGGCTAACTAAGCGCATAACAGAGCTATTGTGGAGCTTAAACTTAAGAAACTCTGTCCTATGTGATTTTATCCTTATGGAAGATCTGTGTAAATAGGGACATGAATCAGCTGATGATGAACTTACTTTAGTTAAAACACTGATGCCGTAAGAACCACAATTTGAACTCCATAGCCACTACAGATTGCGTGGCCACTGCAGACCAAGATTGGTACGGGAAGCAATTGAAATAACCAAACACAAAAATTACAATCGTGAGGATGGGTTTAAATTGTCAAGTGTCTGGAATCCAGTGGTTCCACGATCTGATATTGTGAGTATTGTGTGTGGGGAACAGGTGCGAGTGAATATTGAGAATGTGACCAGTGGTAGAGGTATCGAGCGCAGTAAAAGACGACATCAGATGGTAGGCCGATATGTCTGCCAATAACATCTACCCACAAATACTTCAGTTAATCCGTGATCATGGCGCTTGCAACAGTGCCGAAATATCGGACACTCGTAAAAAAGAAGGTACATGGTAACAATCCCGTTAATAGTAGTAATCAGACCCCTCTTTCCCAGTGGGCACTTCGGTTAAGTGCCCAGGGCCCCGCGATCGATAGGGGGCCCCCTCAGATCAAATACAAAGTCCCTAGCTCCTGTTAAATCACCAAATGCCCAGGGCCTCCAATAGGTCTGCGCCCGTCCCATGACCCTACCCGGGGGGTCCCTCGCAGACCGGCATGGCGTTGGCTGTGCTGGCCACCGACGGACCTCGTGACGGCAGCCCCCCCCTTGTAGTTCTGTCCTGCAAAGAGGGGGGCGGCGGAGAGAGCTACACGGGCACGCCCAAGTAGCCCTCCGCAGCGGACGGGCGCGCGGGCCTACCTACGCACGTCTGCGGGGTCCCCGTGATACCCCGGGAGACCCCTGCCGTGGAGCCCCAGCTAGGCCGAGTGGCTGCTAGGTGCGGAGACGCGGAAGAATCCCTAAACGGGGATCCCGCGGCTTCGCGCTAAGCAGCTTAGAGGGTATTCGCCGGACTTTTTTAGCGGATATTATGCCGTAAAGCGCCCGTAAGAGTTGCGGGGTCCTCGGTGGACAGCCACTGGGAGGCCCGTAAGCCTTGCGGGAGCCAGGTGTGAGGTCCGTTCGGCGGTGTGCCTCTTAAAGGCGCCGTCGTCTGTAAATAGCATTTTTTACCTGCGTTATATAAAAAAAAAGGGCCTCCAATAGGTCAAAGACGGCACTGGCTATAATGTTAGTGACCATAAAAGTTTAAAACAGTATATCACTATGTATTAGTATGTAGCAAAGTCGGAAATATATTTTTGACACACCGACATACACTCTTACTTGCGTTGCATTGCGTGGGCAATTTCCGTGTCCGTATCACGAGTTAGGTTTAGGGTTGTCATAATATTTCAAACTTTATGTATACCTGTATTGTCAATGTTATGTGAATGGAACATTTTGACACTGTTTAGTATAAAACTTAAGATATTGTTGTGAGTTATAATAGTAACGAGCATATTATCAACGATGATGTTAGCAAAAGTCTTAGGGATGCTAAAAGTTGTTTCGCGATAAATTATCTTCTATGATACGAAAAATAAAAGTCGTCCAACTAGCGTAATCTAAACGTTTTCCCAACTAAATTTCACTTAGACTGAATGAATATGCTTCTGAATATAGTAGTTCGACGACATGAAGACAAAGTTATACATAAATGGTAGTACAAGACAGGTTTTGCTCCGTATTTTTCATAAAAGTATCAGCAAGAGGACGGGACGCCATAAGCATAAAATCAGGAGATATTTTAATTGAATATCTTTAAACAAACGCTTATTCCAATTATTTTTCACAAAGACTTATTTCTCGAAAAGATTAGTCAGTGTCGCATCCATTCTATCCTTTCCAGGTTGGCAGAGCATCAAAGACTTGTGCGCAGTACTGTTAGCAGCTGCAGCAAGCTATGTTTAACCCTATATCTTTGTCTCCCAGACTTTAATATAGTAATTAAACTACAATCTATCCAAACACTATGTTTCTTTGTTGAAAATAATTTCTGGAACTACTATGAGGAGGCCTTAGAAAAAGGAAGACAAATCAACAAAAATGTAATGACATTTAGTAGGTGCTATTGCAAGTATTAAAATCTCAATAAAACAAC